GGCCGCGGCCTAGGGCCGGGCGGTGGGCGCGGCGCCCGGCCAGGCCTGAGGGCGCGGGGAGGTGGCGGGCGGCGGCCCCCGGCTGCAGCCAGTTGTGCTTGGGCAGTGCTGTCTCCTTACGGGGAGAACTACCCCGCGCAGGCTCAGCGCCGGCTTGAAACTGTAGAGCAACCCGTGCTGCTTGGGAGCGCCTTCCCTGAGGGCGATGGCAATGCCCGTGCGTGGCACAACTGCAGTCAGGCGCACCCACCCTTCAATGGCTTGGGTGAAGGGCAAGGCTTTCCAGCAAATGGCAGTGGTCTCGGAGCCAAAAACTGAGATGTTATTGAGACATTTTGATGAACTCGGTGGTACAAAACACTACAAATTAAAAGCCACAGGACTTTTCTATGTTGTGCTGTTAGGAGGAGTGTTGGTTCTTCTACAAGTTTCCTGCTCTCTGGGCACTAATCAAAATTCCTTCTCCAGGCAAAGATGCAATTTCTGCTCAAAACCAGGGATAAACAGCCCCTCACACAACTAATAGGTGCTGCAAATGAGACACCAAGGCCTCAGGCAGGTTTCCCTCTCCTGTAGCCTGGCTGAGCACTAAGTATTTCCAAGATGATGCTCTGTTTAAGCTATTAATCACACTCCTGTTGATGCTACTTTACCTAAATACTCGCCAAGGGATGGACCTGAATCCATCTTTTCAAGAGAAGACCAGAGTGTTATAATCTCTGTGCTATGCCATCTGTCTCCTTTGCAGGGAAATTAATTGTTTATACTCAGTGAACAGCTCTAGCAGGAACACGCAGCATTGCAAGCTTCCAATAGCTCTGGGAGCCATTTCATTGGACGTTGCCATTTAATTGAGTCTCAGATACCACAACAATAAGATATTTGCCCCTTTCATGCTGCTACCTTACCACTCAGCCATGCCAAATCTTAACTGTGTCAGTCATTAACTGCACCCATAACTCTTCCCTCCTGTTTTCCTGCAGCGTGCAGCCAGCCAGCATCTGTGGCCTCTGCCTTGCCCTGCTCCTTGCTACAGTGTCACATAGCACATGGCATGGCGGCCTCGTCTTTCTCTCATCCCCCAGCGTGGGTTCTGCTACCTGTGACCCTGGAAAAGGAGAAATGTAAGAGAGGGTTGTTTTCTTTGTAAGCAGTAAGATCGAGCAATAAGCACTTTGTTCTTGGTAACTCCTGCTGTGAGCTTGCAGGTGAATTTTCCTTGTCTGGCTAGAGGCAACAGCCACTACACAGCACCAGCAGCTACAGTGTGTAAAGGTGAGAGGGAAGGAGCAACAGTCTGCGGCACTCATTTTCTCCCCTTTGATCGTGAATAGTGAGGCCTTCTATTATGTTTACTCCAGCATATGCGAGAAATAAGGTGAATTTTATTAGAAACTTTTTTTTTTTTTCCCCCAGCAATGAACATATTTCAGCCAGCAGCTCTCTCCTGTTTGTGAAGATGCAGCACAGTTCAGGCTGTTCAGTGCTTTCAGAGGGAGCTCTGGCTCTCGTGGTCACATTTTCACTATAAACCAACCAATTTTACACTCTACTGCAGCCCTCCTCTCATCTGATTTCAGTGTTGCATGAGGGGCGCAGAAGGAGCCTGATGTGGACCAGGGGTGTGCACTGTAGCCCATACGTAGTTGGATGGGGATGGAAGAAGGGTTTGCTGTGTAACATGAGCTTAAAAACTTTAAACTAGTTCTTAAAAAAACCTAATTAAACTCCAGCTAGCCACTCACAAAATCCAAGCCAAACGTGTGAGAAGGTTTTGTTTATTTATGGATTACTCAGCGAACAAAAATAATTTGGCAAAAACATCAGTGCATAGTTAAGATATAAATCAGACAACTGAAAAATATGAATGTAGGTGCGGTGAACATTTAATCACACGATACATGATGTTCTTTCCACTTCTGGTTTGACTTTCCTGTTTGTTTCCCCAGTAGGAAAAGTAATGACATATGAGAGTTTAATAACAAAAAATCAAAACAAGGAAACAAAAGTGGATAAGTCTCACATCATATAAACTTACCATAAAGATGCATATCAATCACTAGAAACTAGCAAATCACTCAAAGCTTAACAGCCCAAGTTATTAATTTTCAATATAAAATTATTCATACTCATCACACCGGCTTTGATCTACTAGACTAATAACAATTTTGCTGATTGATTTCCTGCATGTTTTCTTTCATGAGCACATAAGGGAAGTACAAAACTATTAGAAAAATTTTGTAACTGAGAGAAAAAAAAGCTTTTTATTTGCATTTTTATGTCAGTTATTTTAAAAGATCTGGAGCATACAAAGCCTTGTCCCTTTGCTTCAGGTTTTATACGTCACATATTCTGAAATTTCGGGCAGACCACAGACCTTTCTTGCCTTCTGGATTACAGAACAAATATAAAATTTGCCCTTAGGCAGAAACTGTGCTGCAAGCACAAGAAGCTGCCAATTTAGCTGAGACCAACTGCTATTCTAAGACGTTGTCCTCAACAACGATCACCAGGGGATGTTTGAAGAACATAAAAAAATAAAGCTCATACAGAGCAATTCCTTTCCTGGGACACCATCCCAGCTCTCAGCAGTGAGCTCTATGGAGGGAGTGCCTGCCAGTGAAGAGATTCCTGTTTGTCCAGCAAACACAGCCAGAAAGCCTTTTAGTCCCATAACTCCGGCCATGCACCTCCAAGTGCTTGAAGCATTTTCTTTTCCTCCTCAGGGTCCGTCCTCTAGCTGGTCCCTGCCTCATAGCCTGCCTGTAAAAGATTAAAAGCGACATGAAAACACAACCCATTGTGTAACTGCTGAACTCGGTTCATTTGGGCTCATTTGGCACGATGAGCACATTTCAAAATTCATACTGAGAACAGAGCCTGTGAGGGCGGGGTGCTCTGCAACGCAGGAGCACCTAGGTCCCAGCTTTTCTGGGGGTCTGCATCTCAGCAAGGGTGCAGAGCAGCTGGAAGGTGCCTGCTGAAGCAATACCATCTAGTGGCAGATGGAGAAAAAAAATCCCCTCAACATATGCAGAGCTAGAAAGGTGAAAACTGAAAAGATAATATTTTAAAAAACCCCACCTGCTTGTGAATATTTTTCTTTCGAGTTTTATTTCCATGGTAATATATCAAAAAGGAAGATATAAAACAGGTGATCAGAAAAGGACTGTGGTTAACGGGGCCAGTACCAGGCTCAGGTTACAAGGCCTGATCTTGCAGAAGTGACAAGTGGCCCGAAGGGTCTGACTTTTGAAATGACATTTCCCAGCAACAAACACGCAGCACTGTGCAGCATCAGCTTTGAAGCTATTAACCACTTGCTTAGAATTAGTAAATGTTTTTATGTGGTCAGTGCTTAGCCCCAGAAGAGGTGGTGTAGAAGACAGAGCAGCTGTGAGGCAGGAGTTTATTTCAAGCCATGGTTTGCCATGATTGGGGGAAGGATGTGTAATATTTGTGACTGGATTCGCACAGTGGAGGGACAGTTCTTATATGACAGCGTGGGCATTTGTAGGGAGCAATAACGTCTTTTATGACACCATCTGAGAGAGCTTCAGCAAAGACAATTCTAGGGGCTCCCAATCTCTTTTGCTGAATAATAAGGACTTCTGTGCTGGAACACTGTCCATTATTTTCCAGTGATGTCAGTTGATCTAATTAAAAATGTTAGCTCTTACTACCAAACCCTTCCTCTTTCAGTTTCTTGATGTTCTTGGCTCCAGCAATACTATAAATATTCTCTATTTATCTATTTTTTGAACATTTACACCCCATAAATGATACGTTACACAAAAGGTGAAATGAATGGATTGGCAAACCCTTCATGATACTCCAAGCCGAAAGCTCAACTTTTCAATACAAAGACTACAGCATGTTGCATAGTTGGCCACCAGCTTCTGTGGAAATAGAACCAGAGTAACATTAATACTTGCGTTAGCAAAGAAACTATTTATGTGGTCATTATAGGGGCATATCCCCTGTTAGGATCCTATTGCTGTAATTGAACATCCCAGGATAAGTTAGAGCAAAGAGCTAGGACACCCCTATTAGCTAATGGAGTTTAGAAGTCTCACAGTCTTAATTTCCATTCCCTACTATTATTACTGTCATTTTGCAAAGAAAACATAGCACTACTGATGGAAGTGGCTGCCTTCCACATGTGTTGTGAAACACCTGAGGCACTTACGTTAATAGAGTGGGAAAGGCTTCATTCCCACAGCTGATCTAAGTCAACAGCACTTAGCAGTTATAGGCGAGACTCTAGATACTGAAGGAAAGAAAAATCCTCTTTTTCTTTAGAGGTAAATATAATTAAAGTCTTACACGTTACATTCAATTAAACCGGTATGTGATGTTTTATACCTCTGGCCAGACAAACAATACTGACTATAGAGTGGATGTTCTGGATTTGTTTTGCAGGTTTGGGGGAGTACTTTTCTGAAAAATACTCTATGTTAGCACAAATGCACAGAAAACACAGCCCCGTCCCACTGCTGTTTGGGTTAGTTAGCTTTGGAGAATACAACAGGTTTTTGTGAAGAAGGACAGTTATAGGGGTGACGTTTCTGACGGGCTCAGCCTTGTTCAGTGGCAGGTCTGTCTTGGAGCCAACTGGCATTGGCTGTATCAAACACAGGGAAGCTTCTAGCAGCTTCTCACAGAAGCCACCTCTGCTACCAAAATCTTGCCACACAAACCCAATACAGTACACCATGTCTGTCCACTGTATTGGTTTTGACTGGGATGGAGTTAATTTTTTTTATAGTAGCCAGTATGGGGCTGTGGTTTGGGTTTGTGCTGGAAACAGCTCTGACAGCACAGGGATGTTTTCGTTACCGCTGGGCAGCGCTTACACGGAGTCAAGGCCTTTCCTGCTCCTCACCCCACCCCACCAGCGA